TGTTAAACATTATTATCCTTTTTAAGACAATGTTATTAGAAAACTATTTACAAAAGACTGAAAGAGATATGTGCTAAAATAAGCTCTCCCCAAAAATAAGGCCTCCCTGAAAATATTGCAACACAGCAACAGCCATGAGGTGACCACACTCGCCACCTCCTGCACCTCAAAAATAATAAGACTTCCCTGAAAATAAGGCCAAGTTGCTTATTTTGGGGCTCAAAAGAAAATAAGACCCTGTCTTATTTTCAGGGAAACACAGTATTTTGCATGATTGCTGTAGTTTTGTAAAATGTAGGTTAAATTATCATAACTTCAACCATCTCACCCAGACTACTCTGTAATGCCATCAACTTATGAGGGATGTTTGAATGGAATCTGATCCAGTGACTCTAAAGGTAGCTAAATTGAGGATTCATTAAATCAAGGTTCACTCATGAATGAGAGAGTGCAGAAATGATCTACAAATTTTGCATTTTTTTCTTTTTTACTTAAAAAAATCAAATCAGGTAATATTTACAAAGAATTGACTACATCAGTTTCCATTCCTATAATTATTTACAGTATGTGTTATTACCTTATAATTCTTCCAATACAAAGTATCCTTTGTAATTTTTTCTCCAAGCTTTGGAAATGTCTGAACTATTACAGGCTTGTAATTTGCCATTGTTTCTTAAATGAAATTTCTCCAGGAGCAGAAAGCAATCTTCTACCTATAAACTTCATAAGGAGAGAATGTTCTAGATGCAACCTTTTAAAATAAAAAGCAAACAGGTTGTTTAAAATAGCAAAACAAGTAAGGGTACAATTCTCTCATCTTCTTTTATTTAAAATATGAATGCGCAAAATAAATCTTTGAATTCAAATAACTGTTGAAGACTAGACAATTTCATTCATTTTGAAATGGGAGATGATGACATTCTACAATAATCTACAATATTTGTTACACCATCTAAAATAAGTATTCTATTTCTAAAGAGATTGAAAAAGAGATTTATCTGAAATGAGATAGGATTTCCTGCTTGAACAGGGGAAGATTTATATTTTTCCTTGAAGTCAATAGCTACAAGCTCCGAAGAGAGACGTGAGCAAATGTTCCAATGTCAACGATCACACACCTAGTAAATTGCAAATGATAATTTATAGCTGATATATTCAAACTTCACCATACAGGTTTTATGCTCAATATCGGCCACCCGGTTTTCCATTTTGAAAGAAATCAGATTCATAACAAATAAAACGAGGCACTTTTTTCTGGTTGCAATGACTTTTAGAATTCATTGTTAGCAGGAATGCCAGTGGACAACTGCCCCAAGGAACTTTATTCAGAAGCAACATTGCCCCAAATAACCAATGATTGCAAACTTGGAAGAGCGCTGTTTTCAGAATTCATTTGAAGGCTTTCCAGGACAACCTGCACGACAATGCAGGCAAACGAAGAAGCGTTAATCTAATCCAGAGGTCTTCAAATTTGGCAACTTTAAGACTTGTGGACTTCAACTCCCAGAATTCTCCAGCCAGCTGGCTGGAAAATTCCGGGAGTTGAAGTCCAAAAGTCTTAAAGTTGCTAAATTAGGGGACCCCTGATCTAATTTACTACTCCTGCGGCATTTTCTGCAAAGGAGACGGCAAGATGGGGAAAGTAGCGGCTGTTCCGGGTCTGCCTTCCTTGCCACTAAAATGCTAAAGTCTACCTAATAAGAGAGAAGAAGAGGGATTGGGGCTAAAAATGCAAGGCTGAAGGCCTTTCGCATCTCTGGAAGTCCCGTCCCCGTCTGTCCTCCCCTACAATTAGCCCGCGGTTACCTGGACCTCCGGTTCTTCACGCTCACGCTGCCTCTAAGGGAGCAGCCATCGCAGCCCAGTGAACTACGTCATCACATCGCGCCTCCTCTCTAACCTCTGCGCCGGCCTGGCAGCGGGCGAGTGCTTTCCTCATTGGGAACCGCTCTCGCGCTCTTTCTTCTGCCAGAAGGGGGCAGAATAAGCCGGAGGGGAACCGCTTTCCTGTCCTCGCCATTTTTTTTTTTGTAGGCGGTTGTGTTGCTCTATTCCCCGCCCCCATTCTTAGCCCAATATACAAGGGAAGGGGGGAGGAGAGGTAGAAGAATTGGTAGTGCAGACTAAACAGAGCATCTTCCTTGTCTCGGGCTGAGCTTTTCCTGAGCTGCAAACCTCCAGGACACCACGAGAGGGCAGCAAGGAAACAGCTACGTCTAGTACCCGCCGTCACGTATTGCCCCCTCGTGGCCTTCTGGAGGCTTGCAGCCCAGATGGCGGGTAACCGTGGGCCCCGTTCCCGAGTCTCCTGGTGTGCTTCGGCGGAAGTGACGTCATGGAACGGAATCATAACAGCCGCGGCTTGGCGTTGCAGCGCGAGGAGCGAGCGAGACAATGGAGTTGAAGGATGCCGATGGGGGAGAGGGGGGATTCGGCGACTTGTGGAAGTGAAGTCGGAGAAGTAGCGAACTCCCTGCGCCGTAGAGGGGTCTCGAGTGCCGGAGTTTAGATCGGAGAAACCCGGGTCGGCTTAAGTCTGGCGGGTCTGCGGAAGGTGAGGTTGGTCCTTCTGCTGGACGCTGGTTGCGCAAGTGAGGTCTCCTCGCGGAGGCGTCGCTTTAGATCTTTATTTTTTTTTAAAATATTTCGTCAAGCATGTATTAGATAACATGATTTTGAATACATGAAATGGATACGAATAAAAAGGGAACATCAGGACAGGGATGGTAGGCACCTTGGTGCCCTTATGCACGCCCCTTACAGACCTCTTAGGAATGGGGTGAGGTCGATAGTAGACACTGTAAGGTTAAAGTTTTGCGGGTTTTAAGGATGTAACAACAGAGTCAGGTAGAGCATTCCAGGCATTGACCACTCGGTTGCTGAAG